TCCGCGCTTTTAAATACCTTGCTATTTCTTTTTTTATTTTTTAAAAGCATGTTTTCGTTGTTTTCCAGAAATCAAAATGAACAAACTCTTTGCCGTCGTTCTCTGTTTGGCTTTCGCCTCCATGACCTTGGCTGGTAACCCCTTGATGATGGGTGGTTTAGGAATGATGAACCCCTACATGATGGGTATGGGAGGTTTAGGTATGATGGGTATGATGAACCCCTACATGATGGGTATGGGAGGTTTAGGTATGATGGGAATGATGAACCCCTACATGATGGGTATGGGAGGTTTAGGTATGATGGGCGGTTACGGTATGATGGGCGGTCTTGGTATGATGGGTGGACTTGGTATGATGACTGGATACAAGAAATAAAATGGTAAGTGTTGCCAATATTTTGACGGGTTAAAATGGGGAAAATTCGAGGTATGCACAATGAATATGACCTGTAATTACACTATATTCAAATCCGGTGTCGGTGTCCATTGCATGCGTTTGTGATTGTACCCAATGTAAAGTTTTATTTTCATATTTTGTATTTTTATGTTTTCAGGTGGATATATGTGATATTATACAGTTATTTATCATTATACTGTTGTATAATACATTACAATATATTCAAGTAAATAAATCATCCGAATATAACAAAAGTCTTATTATTCTCCTAGTGTACATATTTTTCTATAATAGACATTACACCGCTTTATCGCCCCAGGCACGTTTCCATATCAGTCCTACAACCCGATTTATTGAACCTAGTCGAATTGCGATTCAAAGAACGGATTTGTTTCAGTTGATATACGTGAAGCGCTAATATTACACTTACAGGAATTTACAACTAGAATATCCTGATGATATTCCATTCCTTATAGAAAGCATATGAGCAACGTGAGAAACTGTGATTCGTGAGTTTCGTCGTTGCTTTAAGCAATGAATCAGATTATCCAATATGTTGCTTAGATAGCAGTTGTTGACAATTTAGACTGTCTCAGACTTTGCCACTCACAACCTAACCGACCCCTCCCCCAATTAAAGCTATATTACCACAAAATTGGACACTGGACAAAAATCGTCAGTTCAAACAGTTTTTATTGGATCGCAGACATACTGACATCTGTTTTCCCGAAAAGAAGAAAGGGGATAAAATTGTGTTCATCCGCTGACATAGAAAAAAAAGGGTAATACCCCCTTTAAGCTGCTAAGAACGTCTAAAATTGAGATTGAATTTGTCAATCAAATGAAGAAATCATTTGTCGCAATACTTAGTTACAAACTTCCCGCAGTTCAAAATCTTGAAGTTATAATGACAGTGTGTAAAAACCTTATAAAGAAATCCTATCAAATGAAAACCTTGTCTACTGCCAGAGTAAGTTCAATTTCAACTTTTATCTGTTTTCTGTCGGCAAATCGAGACGCTGCTCATGGTAGTGCAGCCGTGGTTTACATACCGATCGGATGAGATTGGTGTCTTTTGTTTCATAAAAAAGCAGCCGAATTAAAATTTACAGATCATCGACAGTGAATCGATGCATTCGATGCATTGTAACAATATCAATACGATATCAAGATTAAACACGGTTTTAAATCAATATCGATCGAGTGTTGGTATTGTCTTGTTTCTATGAGGCAAACATGTTTGGGTGAGGGGTCTGCAATAATTTGATAACATTTGGTAGTTAAAAGTCGATTTTCAAAGGTCACCTTAGGTCAAGGTCACGAGATATGATCCTTGAAAGTTTTAAAAATTGCCATTTCCACCGCCTGTAAAACCGGAAGTAGATGATTTCAGATATCACAGGTCAAAGTGTAAATGGACATTCTAGATCAGTGTCTTTTGACCCTGTAAAAAGTAAGGTCATAAAGGTCAAGGTCAAAAATTTAAAATGTGAAAATTCTAAAATTTGTTCAACAATTGTGATAGATTCAATCATTATCAATATTTTCACACATGTTCGATATTTGAAATTTGAAGTACAAATTTTGCTGGTTTTTTGGACAATTATAAAATCGAAAGTAGATATTAGGTCAAATGCAAAAGTATCAACTGTGGGTTGACCTTAAGCCCGGTAAAGGTCAAGAGATATGAGATTGTTAACTCTCACACGAGGATGATCTCCATCAAAAATCAATCGAAAAAAAAATAGAATAATTGAACAATATATAACATATGAGTTAATGCCCCTGTTTTCAAAAAGAGTTGCATCTTAGCTCGAAAACACTCTAGAAGTATTTTGACGAAAAGTGGTGTATTATCACCCATGGATTAACGCTATCGACGTGTGTTATGGCCATTTTTGTTTGAATCGCGTATTAGCACTTAATCATTGTAGTTGGCAGAATTAAGGTCCGTTTTAAATGAAATTTGGTAAAATTATCCGTAATTAATCGAGGATAAATCCTATCAAAAATTAAAAAATAATAAAATATCTAATGAAAAACTGGCCTTGTTCTGCAAAAGGTGTTTGGTTTCTTGTTTGTTAACATTGTAAAGAGAGCCTTATTGAGAACACAAAAGGCTCAGAGAGAATTGTATGACTAAGTGATGGTTGCCGTTCTCCCAAATGTTTTAAACAAAGCTGCTTGTGGACGTCTGTTTGCCTGGCAAGCTATCTTGAATTTGAAATGAGTTTTTTATCAGACACGAAAAGAACACTACTACATGAAAACAATTTGGTAGATGCATTTTAAATGACAAAAGGTAGTAGATGCGACAAAGGAGCCTTGTACAACACAAGAGAAACAAAAGTTCAAATTTAGGAACAATAAATCTAATTTCAGGGTGCTCAGAACAGATAAAGTTCTTAATCAGAAATATGAAAGAGTAATGGACCATCAGATTCCAAGGTCCGCCAAGTGGTTGTAAAACTTAGGACTGTGAGCTGAAATGACATGTTTTACTAGTCCTGTCAGCAGCTACCATTATTTTGGCCAGTACCTATATAGGACGATATAACAGCTATTTAAGTCATCGGACCAGGAGAGAGGCTTGGGGTATATATCGTACTATACAATAAAAGCTGCCTTGAATTATAAGGCACTATATTTTATTCAGTTTTATCCATTGAAGCTTGCTTTCTCTTCCGGTATATTATAATTGAATTAAGAACATATTTAGTTGTTTTAACATGATTTATTATAAATAAATATAATGTACTAATTTGAATATAAAAATAGAACTCTCTGTGTGTATGATATCAAGGAACACCTGAAAAAATTCAAACAAGTATTTTAATAATTACAGATTCAATGTCAAGTCGAGTTTACTCCCAAACAATCAGTTAGTTATCTTAGGTAAATGTTTAGATTTTTGTGAGTTTTAATATGAATATAACATTATATGGGGACGTATTAAACTTTTAAAATTGAAATGATACAGAAAATAGTCAGAATGCAAGATGACAGAGAAACAATGGATAAAACGAACCTTATTTTTTACCCATCATACCAAGACCGCCCATCATACCGTAACCGCCGAGCATACCGAGTCCACCATATCCCATCATGTAGGGGTTCATCATTCCCATCATACCTAAACCTCCCATACCCATCATTGCATACCCATCATAGGGGTTCATCATACCCATCATGTAAGGGTTCATCATACCCATCATGTAGGGGTTCATCATACCTAAACCACCCATCATCAAGGGGTTACCAGCTAAGGTCATTGAGGCGAAAGACAAACAGAGAACGACGGCAAAGATCTTGTTCATTTTTAGTTCTGAAAAAGAAAACAAAGAAACACTGACTTTAAATACATTAAGAGAGCAAAGCAACTGTAGGTAAAACATTTGAGTCAAATCATATTTGAAAAGCATCACATTAGTATTCTTTTTAAAATCATGTTCATAACTCGATGTTGCCCATGTTGATAAGATTCATTATACACAACAGCTTGATAACTTATATCGAAATATTGGGCTTCCAAACCAGTTGTTGTCCTGGTGAGCACCCAAAACTATCCTGAGCCATACGTTAAGTAACACAGTCGATGATGTTCTTCAGCGTAGGTTTAGGTTCTGTACTTACCAGGTAAAGCTGATGAAGCTGTGGTGTTGGTAGTTAGAAGGTTGTAAGAATTGTGATACTCTACCTTCATTAACACACCATATTTATACTCTTTAAACACTGTTACATCACCATTTTAATATAAAAATTTAATTCATTAAGAAATAATATCACTAATTAATCATTCTAACTATTCAAACTCTGATCGATTCAGAATTTTCTTAATAGCTTCCTGGATAAGCTGTAAAATACTAATAATTCTGAAATTTCCACATGACTTATATCTCTTACACTCTCATTATTGATAAAAAACAAACCTTTAACAAATATCGTTACAACCAGACAACTTTAACAATATAACATTACAAACAAACATCTTTAAAAATGTGTTATTTCAAACCAATACCTTAACCTATACATTATTTTATACAGACACCTTTAATGATATTTTATCACAGACACCTTTTACAATACATAAAAAATATAAAAAATGAAATATAACAGGGTGTGAAATATGAAATATAACAATATTAAAGATAAATTATAACAGGCAGGAGAAAATGATAATAGATATAATAGGATGGGGAATATGAGAAATGAAATATAATAGGATGGGGAATATGAGAAATGAAATATAATAGGATGGGGGATATGAGAAATAAAATATAATAGGATAGGGAATATGAGAAATGAAATATAATAGGATGGGGAATATGAGAAATGAAATATAATATAAAAGGATGGGGAATATGAGAAAAGAAATATAATAGGATGGGGAATATGAGAATGAAATATAATAGGATGGGGAATATGAGAAATGAAATATAATAGGATGGGGAATATGAGAATGAAATATAATAGGATGGGAATAATATGAGAAATGAAATATAATAGGATGGGGAATATGAGAAATGAAATATAATAGGATGGGGAATATGAGAATGAAATATAATAGGATGGGGAATATGAGAATGAAATATAACAGGATAGGGAATATAAAAAAAAAATATAATAGGATGGGGAATATGAGAATGAAATATAATAGGATGGGGAATATGAGAATGAAATATAACAGGATAGGGAATATGAGAATGAAATATAACAGGATGGAGAATATGAGAATGAAATATAACAGGATAGGGAATATGAGAATGAAATATAACAGGATGGGAATATGAGAATGAAATATAATAGGATGGGGAAATTAGAATAAAATATAACGGGTGGGAATTAGAGAATGAAATATGATAGGATGGGGAAATGAAAATGAAATATAACGGGTGGGTAATATGAAAACTGAGATGTTAAAAGGGAGGATATTGATAAATATAAAAATAAAATATAAATTATATAAAATATATAATAGGGGATTAATAAAAGAAGAAAAATCTGAAAAACTAAATGAAAGTAGGGAATTTAAGTAAAGAAAAATAACACCATGGTTAAAATGTCAAAGGTTGGGGAATATGTGAAAAATGAAATACTGTATAACAAGGATATAATAAAATTGAAGGAAAACATCTCAGGGATATTAAAATGTAATTAAAAAGATTGTTTTAGATAAGAACTGTGGACTCAACACGAAGAGCTTTTACAGCCATTAGGAAATGGTGAAAATTTATCAAAAAAAACAATTTGCGTATAATTTACTTACTTACATAATCTATGTAATTAATTATCAATTAAACGGCAACATTAAAGAGTAATGTAATGTTATTGTAAAAACAGGGAAGTTAGATTCGACTTCGTAACAGAGTTCAAAGAGTATAAATATGGTGTGTTAATGAAGATAGAGTATCACAATTCTTACAACCTTCTAACTACCAAAACGACAGCTTCTTCAGCTATACCTGGTAAGTAGACAACCATACACAGTTTATTAACCTTGTAAAATGTTAAGCCATAGAAAGCACGAACTGTACAGATGTACTGTACTGTACTATACTGAAATAATCAGAAGTTTTGAATAAACATTAAGGAAATAAAATGATACAACGTATTTCAATTCGTGTTTTGATTTGAGATTCGGTATAATTTTGTACGAAATATTATCATAGATTTTGTATTGTATTTCAGAATTCAAAATGAACAAGATCTTCGCCGTCGTTCTCTGTTTGGCTTTCGCCTCCATGACCTTGGCTGGTAACCCCCTAATGATGGGTGGTTTAGGAATGATGAACCCCTACATGATGGGTATGATGAACCCCTATATGATGGGTATGATGAACCCCTACATGATGGGTATGGGAGGTTTAGGTATGATGGGAATGATGAACCCCTACATGATGGGATATGGTGGACTCGGTATGCTCGGTGGTTACGGTATGATGGGCGGTCTTGGAATGATGGGTAAAAAATAAGGTATGTTTTATCCACTGGATTTCTGACTATTTTCTGTATCACTTCAATTTGAAAAGATTTATTACAACCCACGTTTTTCAAATAAATTATCGATACAAAGGGAACCCTCCTAAATAACGCCAGATAGCCTGCAAACAATTTTGTACCCTGTTTATATTTGCAGTTATTTACAATAAAATATATTATTTTCCCTGATTCTGGCTTGTTCAATGTTAAAATGACGTTGTTTATCCCGAGACTGAAGAAAGGATCTAGGGTATTGACTTGAATAATGTGACTCCTTTTTCGTGTTTATATCGTCTTATGACAACTGCTCTGATTTCTTTTTTTAGATAGAATTATGGTGGAGACATCAAAGAGTTATATATATTTCAAATTTCGTCTTGGTTTTGCCTTACTTCAATTTATGGTTATTAATTTTATGTGGCCTTATTATCCCCAATACAAAAACATCGCTATTGTTTTATTGCTAACGTTATTATCATGTAGGCCAGATTTGTCTCGTTCGTAAGCACAATAAACGTATCAATTTAATTTTGTGTGGCTGATTCCACATCCAGCTACCGTTAAATGTCGCTTAAGAATTACACCAGAGGTGAAAAGCGCATGTCAATCAATCAAAGTTACCGATGTTACAAAACCTGTTAATCATTTTAACACCATAAATTAACATAGTATTGGATTTTTTTCTTCTTTTTTTCTTTTTTATTATGCCAAATTTAATTATTTGAAATATTGCATGGAGCCCTTCATGTCCTATTTCATCAAAAAGATGAAAAAGAATACATTCTGATTATGAAAAGAACAAACCTTAGTCGTAAAAATTCCAGTACTTCAAAGAATATATTTACGTTTCATTGTTATATATCTTTGAAAAATGTAAATTTTCATATGGCTTTAAAACCGAAAGTTTAGATAGCTAAGGTCAAGGTCAAAATATACAGACTTTCAAATTTTCTGAAAAGTTCGAAGGAAATAAATAGAAATTAAATCCAAAATTCAATATTTTATTTCCAACCCGTTATAGATACGGTTTAGATAGACAACAAAATCATACAAATAAAATGAAATAAAAAAAATGGCGAATCTATTAAACCTTTGCGGAAATGAGTCATTCTAGGATCATGCATCACTTCCGGTTTGGATTGTTTTCTTGAGTGTTTTGAATAATGAGTTATAGCTAATCAGTATGGTATTTGTCCATATTTTTAGATTTACACTGGTTTCGTGGTCAGCCGACGTGATTTTTAGAAACAAGAAGTTCTCATTTAAAAACCGGAAGTGATGAAATTTAGTATAATAGTCCTGTTAGCAGCTATCATTATATCGCCTTGCATGTATTGTACGATCTTTACACGACGTATTTAACGTCATCGAACAATAGGAAGGGGGAGGGGGGGGGGGGGGGTTGACTTATCTTATTCAACTACATAACACCTTCCTTAAGATGACCCATGAAACTATATTCCATTCGTTAATGCTTGCTTTCCCTTCCGGTATAATATAATTGAATTAAGAACACATTTAGTTGTTTTAACATGATTTATTATAAATAAATATATTGTAATAACTTGCATATAAAAATAGAACTCTCTTTGTGTTTCACATCAATGAACGTCTGTATAACATCTGAAATACAAACAAGAAGGATGTAAAGTACTTTACTATTTACTGTCGCAGTTTGTACCGACAAAGTAGAAATGTGGGACGTAAAAAAATGACACCGAAAATAGTCAGAGGGTCAGCTGCCAGATGTCATATTGATAACACGTACCTTATTTTTTACCCATCATTCCAAGGCCGTAACCACCGAGCATACCGAGTCCACCATACCCCATCATGTAGGGGTTCATCATTCCCATCATACCTAAACCTCCCATACCCATCATGTAGGGGTTCATCATACCCATCATATAGGGGTTCATCATACCCATCATGTAGGGGTTCATCATTCCTAAACCACCCATCATCAGGGGGTTACCAGCCAAGGCCATGGAGGCAAAGGCCAAACAGAGAACGACGGCAAAGATCTTGTTCATTTTGGTTTCTGGAAAATAGAATATTGTATTATATTATAGCTGTTCTTTCTCAGTAAACTGGTTTTCATTTGATCCAACGTTGTTTTCTTGTATTTTGACTCAAAATGTCAATCGAGATGGTCTGATCCGAGTTGGAGAAAAAGTCAGCTTCAGCAGCAACAATCACAACTTTGTTCAATCAAACCATCTGTGAGCGAGGATTATTGTGGAAAAACCTGCTGGCGTAACCGTTCAAGTCAATTGTCGCTGTTTGTTCACAAATGCAATCAGTACTATGTCTTGGTTAAGTTTAGCCCAACAAATCTGGCACTACCCGTTCCTAGGAAGGTATTTACGGATGAACTCGCGAATGCTTTATGTATGAATACTAACATTTATGCAAAATTTGGATTCCAACATGATGAAAATTCTCAAAAACTAAATTTCTCAAAAGATGCTCCATATCCCATAAAATGCGACATTTTATGTATGGCCTAAAACTTGCCCATATTCCATCCGAATATCAATTCCGAGGACCGAATAAGGTTGAGGATAGGCTATGATATATCTACGCGTCAAAATACTGAAATTCCACGGACTTCCTAAGTGACCCCATTGTTGAAGGTGTTGATCGTTTTCTAATCAATCGTAAAGGATATAATATGTAGTATAGGGATATACTCTTGTGAGGACATTTACTATACTAGTTCTGTCAGCATCTATTATTACATGTCCTTCACCGGTATTGTGCGATGGTTATAAAAACTTGTCTTTAACTCAGGAGAGATGTGGTTTGGCCTTTGCATGTGTTATATTTCCTTGCCATAAGTTGCCTTATATTTTAACCCATAAGGCAATATAACATTCATAGATGCTTCCTTTCCATTTCGGCATAGTATTATTAAATTAAGTATATATTTGTTTTAACATAATTTATTACATTAAATCTAATACAAAAATAGAAATCTATGTGAGTATGGCAACAATGAATTTCTGTTTAACACCTGAAAATACAAACAAGTATAAATTATTTTACCAATTATTGATTAAAAAATTCAGTTTTCTCAGTACAGCATATAGATTTCATAGTTAATATTTAGCCTTTCCGGAAAAGTATGTAGAAATGTGGGATGTAATAAACATTAAAATAATTCTAAAAATTGTCGAGTATCAGATGCAAAATACATAAAAAGGAAAAAACGTACCTTATTTTTTACCCATCATACCAAGACCGCCCATCATACCGTAACCACCGAGCATACCGAGTCCACCATATCCCATCATGTAGGGGTTCATCATACCTAGACCTCCCATACCCATCATACCTAGACCTCCCATACTCGTCATGTAGGGGTTCATCATGCCCATCATGTAGGGGTTCATCATTCCTAAACCACCCATCATCAATGGGTTAAAAGCCATGGTCATGGAGGCGAAAGCCAAACAGAGAGCGACGGCAAAGATACTGTTCATTTTGAAACCTAAAAAAGAAAGCAATATGAATACGTTATATGAAATAGTTATTCTTCACAGTAAGCGATGTCAACCAAGTGATTTTCATTTCATCCAAACTTGATTCACTTTTGGAAATTTGACTCTCACGAGGCTAATAAATTGTGTATGGTTGTCTACTTACCAGGTATAGCTGATGAAGCTGTGGTGTTGGTAGTTAGAAGGTTGTAAGAATTGTGATACTCTACCTTCATTAACACACCATATTTATACTCTTTTAAACTTTGTTACGAAATCGATTTTGACTTCCTCCTTCCCTAAATAACTCCTAATTAATCAATCTTATATCATTAACCTCTAATCATATAGAAAGATAAACAAATTATTTGTGGACAATTTTCTGTTCCGAAATGGCTGTTAAGTCACTGCATATTGAGTTCACCACTTTCACCTAAAACAATTCTATTCATAACACAATTTTTAATTCCTTCGACGTTATATTGATTATTCATTTATCTATTTTTTGCCTCCGCCCTATTCCATTTCATGTTTCACATTCCCCATCCTATTATATTTCATTTATCATATTCCCCGTCCTGTTATATTTCATTACTTATATTCCCCAACCTTTTATATTATATTTCTCATATTCCCCATCCTATTATATTTCATTTCTCATATTCCACATCCTATTATAATTCATTTCTCATATTCCCTATCCTATTATATTTCATTTCTCATATTCCACATCCTATTATATTTCATTACTCATATTCCCCAACTTATTATATTTCAATTCTCATATTCCCTCATCATATTATATTACTTTTCTTATATTACCCATCCTATTAAATTTCATTTCTCATATTCCCCATCATATTATATTTCATTTCTCATATTCCCCCATCCTATGATATTACTTTCCTCATATTCAACATCCTATTATATTTCATTTCTCATATTCCCCCATCCTATTATATTACTTTCCTCATATTCACCATCCTATTATATTTTATTTCTCATATTCGTCATCCTATTATATTTCATTTCCCATATTCCCCCATCATCTTATATTTCATTTCCCATATTCACCATCCTATTATAATTCATTTCTCATATTCCCCATCCTATTATATTTCATTACTCATATTCCCCATCCTATTATATTTCAATTCTCATATTCCCCATCCTATTATTATTTCATTTCCCATATTCCCCATCCTATTATATTACTTTTCTCATATTCCCAATCCTATTATATTTCTTTTCTCATATTTCCCCATCACATTATATCACTTTTCTTATATTCCCCAGCTTATTATATTTCATTTCTCATATTCCCCATCCTTTTATATTATATTTCATTTCTCATATTCCCCATCCTATTATATTTCTTTTCTCATATTCCCCCATCATATTATATTACTTTTCTTATATTACCTAACCTATTATATTTCATTTCTCATATTTCCCATCCTATTATATTTCATTACTTATATTCCCCCATCATATTATATTTCATTACTTATATTCCCCCATCATATTATATTTCATTTCTCATATTCCCCATCTTACTGTATTTCATTTCTCATATTCCCCATCCTATTTTATTTCATTTCTCATATTCCCCATCCTATTATATTTCTTTTCTCATATTCCCCCATCATATTATATTACTTTTCTTATGTTACCTATCCTATTATATTTCATTTCTCATATTCCCCATCCTATTGTATTTCATTTCTCATATTCCCTATCTTATTATATTTCATTTCTCATATTCCCCATCCTTTTATATTATATTTCATTTCTCATATTCCCCATCCTATTATATTTCATTTCTCATATTCCCCATCCTTTTATATTATATTTCATTTCTCATATTCCCCATCCTATTATATTTCATTTCTCATATTCCCCATCCTATTATATTTCATTACTTATATTCCCCATCCTATTATAATTCATTTCTCATATTCCCCATCCTATTATATTTCTTTTCTCATATTCCCCATCCTTTTATATTATATTTCATTTCTCATATTCCCCATCCTATTATATTTCATTTCTCATATTCCCCGTCCTTTTATATTATATTTCATTTCTCATATTCCTCATCCTATTATATTTCATTTCTCATATTCCCCATCCTATTATATTTCTTTTCTCATAATTCCCATCCTATTATATTTCATTCTCATATTCCCTATCCTATTATATTTCATTACTTATATTCCCCCATCATATTATATTTCATTTCTCATATTACCCATCCATTTATATTTATATTTTCATTTTCTGGCTTTTTTTTTGTCAAATAGCATACAATTGGACTACCTTCCCCTTTATAATATACATCTTGCAATCTTTCAACCCTGTCAATTGTGATTTTGTTATAATATATTTCCAAATGTGCTTTCATGTATGTTTTTCTATTTCCGTCCGTGAGAATAAAGTCCGGTTGATCGTGGTCTAAAACTTCTTGACCGAAACTTTATTCGTGACTAATTAGACTATTTTAGATTGACCATTGATTTTTTTGTGGCCCTGATTAATAATTTTACATCCTTGTTGTACACATCATATACATTGGTTAGCCTTGAGCCATAATTTGCAATTAAATAATACCATATTATTATTCAACAAATTGAAATGAGTAACCCTTGGTTTAATTGATAATTCGTGTACCGGAAGTTTTAGGGAATCATATTTTTGGTATAAATACGATTAATTTCTATCACTGTTCATCACTTTTACAATCTCACTTCATCGACTCAACAACCACCACGACTACAGTAAGTTCTCCTTTTACATTCAAGATTTATCACTTTTTGAAGTCAACTTGCACATTTGTATTCATGGGTAGAACATTGCAAAAGTAAATACGATAACGATCCTTACCAGTTTTGTCCTAAAAAAGGACTAAATTTCATTTTATTAAATGGAGGATAATTTGGAATCCGCAATATTGTTACAAAAAATCATACTTCTTCTTTCTTTTTTAGAATCCAAAATGAACAAGATCATTGCCGTCGTTCTCTGCTTGGCTTTCGCCTCCATGACCATGGCTGGCAACCCCTTGATGATGGGTGGTTTAGGAATGATGAACCCCTACATGATGGGTATGGGAGGCTTAGGTATGATGAACCCCTACATGATGGGTATGGGAGGTTTAGGCATGATGGGTATGGGAGGTTTAGGTATGATGGGTATGATGAACCCCTACATGATGGGCATGGGAGGTTTAGGTATGATGGGCGGTTACGGTATGATGGGCGGTCTTGGTATGATGGGTGGACTTGGTATGATGACCGGATACAAGAAATAAGGTAAGCTTATCGATCATTTCTTTATGTAAGTAACGCTACCCCATGTTTCCTTTATAATCTAAGTTATAAAACTTAATCGGGGCAAACAGGATCTCTTAATGTAATGTCATTCAAGAAACGCAATTTACGATGATTGACTTTTAACTCGATTTCCTAGATTTCTTTGGCGATGTATTCGAACAATTATAAGTTGCCTGGACTGGGTGACATAGTAACACTCGAAGACCAATCGAAATCAAACGTAGTATGCAAAGCTTTAATCTAACCATGTTAACTAATTCTCTTTTTCAGCTACAAGACGATATGAGCAGATTATAGAACAAATTAACAATATGAAATATTACCTAATATATACCTCTAATTATATCTCTAATTTGTATTGTAAATTAATATATATATTATACCAGAATATTTTAATAAATAGATATCACAGATATACTGGAATCCTTTTTCTCCTATCGGTCTTATAAAAAGTTGTGGAAATCGGAGATGCCTTTGAATTACAGTCACTGACATTTAAGTTTGAAGCCTCTGACATGCATGTGGTCTTCCGGTTTGCATCAGTGTAGACTATTTATAATCCTACTGTGGTAGAGTTTTTCACATTTATTGGTAAATTAATATACAATGCGCTCCCCTAAAGAAGTTAAACAACGGAATAAGATGAGGTATTCTAGTGAGCATGAGTTGCGAGTGTCGGTCCAAGAAAAAGATCTAAAGACCAACTATTGACATTAAACTCTCACTTGACCTTCCTTGAGTAAGATACACATCACAACAGGTGTTCTACGTCATAGATTATTGTGTACAATAATGACCATTCAATTTTCTTTTGTTAACAAAGCGAAACGGTCAAGGTAGAGCTTCACAATACAAATTAACCCTTAATATGCAGGCTTTTATATTCTATTTCATCTGGTAACCCTCATTATCTGCATGCAATATTGTCTTTAGTTAAACACAAATAACGGTAAAAGTGAGATTAATTAAAGGGAGTTAATTATTCATGAAAAATTATCTCCCTTGTATCAAGATGGCGGTAAATATAATCAAAGAGTTGGTACAATAAATAGAAATTAAAATACAATAAAATAAAATGATAAATAATTAATAGAGAGATGAAATCTGGTAACATATTGTCTACGTCGTAAAATACGATTAACTCCCTTTATAACCGCCATTTTAGTTTCCATAGGAACCAACACCATCAAATGAATTACCAGGTCAAAGAGCGCATCTTTATTGCTCAAATGTTAATAAGCGATTAAAGCATGCTAGTGAAATTTCTTTCTTATTAACAAATGTGAAAGCTCCGTTTAATGTTTACTCTTTAAATTGCTCTAAAGATTAATAGAAATAAATGCTGTATTGCTACCCGGTAAGATCAGTTTATAATGCAGAACATTATATGCAAACTATTTTTTGTGCTGTCTGAGTATCACGAAGCATTTGTGACTTTCTGCATATAATATATGATTACATCTAGCGGTAAAAACAAAATAAAAACATCTTCTGCTTTCTATTGGTGTTACACAAAACTCAAAATACAACGCCACACCATAAAATACGAGTTATCTGCCGGTACACAATACAATAAGAGTTATCTGTCGTTACACTCCATGATGCATTATAATCGGATTACAATATTTGAATCGAACAATCGAATTAAACAAGTCAATTACAAAACACTTCAAGATAATCGGAATTGATAAACGTCAATTTGTTATGACGTAATAAAAGTGAATAATAGAGTTATTGCCCTTGTCACTTCAATTATATCATTTGGCTGTCTCTTTGTTACAAATTATATTGTTTAAATGATGTTATCTCACAAAATTGGCGTCGTTTTTAATGATAGGTTAATGATAGGTGTTATACATCTAAACATGAAAGAGTTACTGCCCTTGGTGTAACAAATAATCTGTGATAATTATATAATAAACAGTTTCAAAGTTTATAATGATTATATCAGCATTTAATCTTGTGGCGATCAATTGGTAAACATTACATCATTAACAACTTATCAACTGATAGTAGTTAGGTAGTGTATTGAAAATTGATAGAGTTATTGCCCTTGACGCTAATATGAAGTTGACTGTCATTACAATGTAAGAGGTTAAAATTATCGCATTTATTATACTCAGTAAGTCGCCGATTACTGCTGAGAAAATTAGTCATTGAAGATCGGAATTATGGCACGTGAATGGCTCGAGACAAAAGAGATACAACTTGCTGAAAAGAGCGCTGTTTCTGTAGACGTTATATCACAGAACAGTGTACCAGCCTCCATAAATGCTTGCAAAGTGGCGAAACACTTTAACAAGAAATCTTGGTGCCTCTATAAGAATGTCATAAATGAAACTTTTCAAAGAATTTAATGAGAATTTTAGTGATGACATTAATTAAGGCATTAATATGTCAATTAATCATTCATACCAAAAGGCGTTAAATTCAGTCTAATTAATAACATCTTGACTTTTGGCATCTGAATATCTTAATTACTTTCGACTGTAATGAATGTCAGCTTTGTTTGCTAACGCTTGATGTCCTTTAGAACGGAAAAATAATTATTGATTTGATCATTTTTGGACAAAATAAGTCCAAATCCTCAGCCAAAATTAAAGTGGTATATCGTCAGGAATGATAAGAGCTCAAACAACAAGACAACAAAATAGATGCGGAGCAAACTTTTGATTTGTGGTCTGGGACCATCATTGACTTGTTTATCAATCAAATATGATGCTTGCGAATGATCTTAAAATACTACCGAGTCAACTGATGACAATAATTAAATCAAGTCAAACCCTTGTTATAATAATATTGCTGTTTGTATTAAATGTTTAGAATTTGGTATAATCATTAAAACGTTTTAAGTAGTATTATTGGGTTTTTTCAACATTGCTTTGGTCAAGGTATCAATAAAATTATCATGAATGAATATATATCTCCAGTTCTTCGGTAAAAGATGGATATTTCTTTCAAAAAATGCAAAGAGCTCATGTAGCAAACTAACAGGAATGTTACTACAGAAATTCAGCAGCAGAATGCTGTAAAAAGCTTTTGTGTTATTTATCAGTTTCCGACTTCTTGAACCCCGGGGGAATAAAACGAAAACCAAAACATTCATCATAACGGTAAAATAAAAAGTAATATTTTTCCCCAACAAAAGATAGAAACTCGATCTGATTGAAGTCGAGAGGGAGGGCGTGGTCAACTGACATTGATGGAGTGGATAAAATACTATTAATGACCACTTTACCGCATACGACGTTTCACAAATAATCCCTTGTAAATTAATCATACTGCTTATCATATCGATCTGAGAGTGAGGGCGTGATCTGATAAAGTCAATGGGGGATTCAGCAACGCCCTTTGACTGCATGAACAATGGAACGAGTAGACTTGGACTTAGTAATAAAAACTGTCCTATTCGGAATAATTATGAAGAGTAAGAGTAAAGGACACTAATATACTGGTTCGTAGCTATGAGGAATGTAGAGAAATATCTAGTTTAAACAGTATTTTATTTCTATTATAAATATAATATTTACAGAGTATAAATAGGGTTCCGGAAACAAGCCAAGGCTTATGTTAATCCGTCATCAAGAAATATTTCGTACCCTCACTCGAACTGACAAATTTTGACCGAACACGTTAAAAACGTCTTGTTACAATCGAACTCTACAGAGAGAGGGGGGATTTCAGACTTTTGAGACCCCCACTCCCACCCCACCCCCAATTCTGAGACCGTGCTACGGGCTTGCTTACTATTCTCTTATGTAATATGTACTTACGGTTCATTATTTATCTAATTTAATATTATTTTTAATCTCCTCTTAATTATAAGAATACAGACAAGAGGTCGCTGAAACTTTACCTCTTCAAAAGTTGAAAGCACCATCTTATGTATCAATGCACTTCAACTTTTTAAAATAACAGAAATTCAGACTGTAACTGAGTGCAATTCAATTAATTTCAAGTATTTGTTTACGGAAATGGACTGTCGTTAACCGCGTTTAAATTTAGAGTCTGATGAAATGTCTATTTTTCAATACTATTTTTAGTTCAATTTCCTTTGGCCAAATTTGGTATTAAATACGTTTTTCATATTTGTCCACAGATCGTATTATATAATGTAGAAGGTATGATATACAATATTACTAATAAGGAAGATATCCAAATCGTGTAATTAGACGTTTTGTGGTAAACGAGATCTCATCAATCACTCTAACGAGATATTACGAGATAATGAGATGATATGATGTCACATGATGTTATTATGACATCATCAAGCAAATCGTCTCTTTTGAAAGGCGGGTTCGTCCAAGTTTTGGTGCAAAGTAATGCGAGGTACAAAATGATATCTCGTTAATCATAAGAGAGATATTACGAGATGTACGGAATCACGTGTTACAATTTTATTAGTGTCATTAGCCTGTTGCTGGCTGCACTTTGCCTATGTTTAACAGTTTCTTTGATTTGCATAACAAATTAATACTGAGTTAAAATATATTATTTAATGGAATGTACTGGCCCAGGTTTAAAGATACGTTTAGAGCAATTGTGATGCTCATATTCAATGAACTTAATAACAAAATAAAAACAAATTATTTTTTTTATACTCGGACCTAAAATGAAAATGTTTTAACTTATTAAGAAAGTTTTACCGTTTTCTATTTTGCATATTCTTGAATACAAAGAGCCTTAAAATTGTATGCATAATTTAAGAATCTGTTAAACATGAGATACAATCAAATCAATTTATGATTGATCAAACAAATCACCCAAGATGCAAGAAACAGAGTTGTAATATTTGTCCAGAAGTTCGCTATAACGACCACTATCATACATCATAATTGCTCTAAAATATCAGCTTCCAAGTAGACACGAGTTAATTGCATAAATATTGGTTTAATCTTCAGTCATGAGTGTCCTGCCTCTACTGGGCAACATCAAAGACTCCGACACTGCCATGGGATATTTTAGATGACCCCTATGACATAGAACATCACAGGATCTTCGGACAATTGAAGACCATTAGTTCATTACTGTTTCGCTTGATTACCCACACCTATAAAGATAACAGACGCAAATAAGGGAAATAACTAAATGACTAAATTCAATTTCGCTGAAAGAGAATTAGGAGAACTGATTCAGTCAAAATCACCCCACCTTTCCTTCTTCCATTCTCCCGTTTTAGCAGTCTTCTGCCTTTTGGAGAGTGGCTCGGCTCATCTGAGTCGTCACTGAATATCAATAAATCACTCTACGAGGTAAATCAAGGGTTGCTGATTATTATAACGTGGTGTTATTATTTATTATGGTTTATGTATAATGATAATGACAATGTTTATTATATTACTATTATGACATGACCCATCTGACATAGTGACATTATGTCATGTCAGACCAGGGCAATATAATCTATTGATTTTTA